GGGGATGAAAAATAGATGTTGTCCGATTCTCAGACCTACCCAATATGCACACAAAATTTCATGAGAATCGGAAAAGCCGTTTCGGAGGAGTTTAACCACAAACACCGCGACACGAGAATTTATATATATTAGATTGATATAAAAGTTAATTTCAATCCAAAAAATAAAAGTAACTACAAGGGTAGTAATTTTACGAGAGGAATTGGGTTTAGAACAGTTCACCGTGATGATAAAATGCCAGTTCGTATTTTTTTATTTTATGGATTTAGAGCCCATTACTCAATAATTATTTTTGCCAAGGTTGAGAAGTAGTAGGTACTTCTCAACCTTGGCAAAAATAATTAACCAAGAAAAAATACTAAATCATAAATCAGCACATTGCACTGCCGCTCTGAGGAATACCGTGTATTTTTTTTTGCTCGGGGAGTTTACCCCTACATGCTTCATTAGGATTTAATTAATATGTTTCGGGTATTTATTATTTCCTTTTTTCATATAATAATCTTGACAAAAAAATTTTTAAATTTTATTATATGATAATGATAATACATATTGCAAATATATGTTTTAAACGTAAACACGATGAAAGAAAAAGAAATTGTAAAATTAAATTATCATATTATCATATAATAAAATTAAATATTTTTTTTAACTATATTTTTCGTCATCTTTCTTGGTAGCCATCATTTTAAACTAAATACGCAGAATAGTTCACCCAGTAATGTTTATTAGTGATTAATTAAACAAAAGAATAACAGTGTTGCCCAGCGCGCGATTCAACAATGAATGAATAAAAGTGAGCAACTCACTCGCTAGCGCACGATCTGTGTACGGAAGAGACGGTTAAACATGGATAACTGGTTTTAGCTGAAGCATATAATTTTAAAGTAACGATGACTAACGCTAATAAATTACAGTGGAAGAAAAGAGTAAGCACTGATAATCGATTTTAGCTGAAGTAATTTATAAAGCGTCAAATAAAAGTTATTCAGTAAAAACAAATTAAAATTCGGTATCTTCTTTTACTTGCCTCAAATATAACGCAAATATTCTATATATTTTTTTTTTCAAAAAGCGACAGGTTTTTTAGTTTTTACTTCATCTAGTAAAATTAAAATATCTGGTAAAATTCAAACAGTCAAAGCTAATTACCGTGGGATAACTTATTTTAGTGGAATAATCTCACAGGATATTTACTCTAAGTGTCTACATGAAAAATGAGTTTAAATCCGAAACTTGGTTTCAACAATTAATACGTTTACAAATTTAAGTGTTTTGAATGGGTTTATTAGGTTTTAAATCAAGAATTTTGGAAATAATTTGCAGTTATATTGTTTATTCATTAGCTATTTCAGGAAGTATGCGTCGTAGAGCATAATGGGTTTTACCTGTAGATGCGGCTTAATGAGACGGGTCGATTGGTATTATAAAAGTTCAGTAGCGGAAAAGTGCAGATAATCGATTTTGGCACTAAGGGGACGATTTACTAATAATAAACTTCTCGCTTTCTAAACGCGCTTTGTTCGTTATTTTGAAAATGTACATATTAATAATTATAATTAGTAATAATATTTAATAGGAGTAACAATTAATTAATAATTCTTTTTAAATAATAATGAACAAAAATATTTACAAAGAATAAAGACATTTATTTAAATTCAAAATAGGGAACCCTTCTACTACAAAGGCGATGTTCTTGGCTGTATCATTTCGGTGGTAATTTTTTACCATTTCGGTAGACAATTTTCATTTCAGTGGACTGCCGAAAACTCATCCTTAAATATTTCAGTAATTGGTGATTGTTGAATTTGCCCCGTAGGATCGTTTAAAAATGGAAAAAAAAATCCATAAACAATATTTTTTATTTTTTATTTTGCACCTTTAATTGCATTTTGTGTAAAAACTATGGGAGATACGCGAAAATAAATTGATATCTATTTTGTAGGAAATTAATTTTTCTACAACTTTGTGCTACAAACTTTTTCTATTTTTCCAGCCAGTCGCGAGATATTGACGAAAAGCTCGTTTTTGCACCATTTCGCATTTTTTTTTTCACCCTTTGCCGTCAATGCAGCACCCTGCAATTTTAGTATATTAATCTACGAACCCTTGCGGAAATTTTCGCGTTGGTTGCAGGTGATCAACTCAAAATGGCAAAGTTAAGCCTTCATTGACTGGACTATACGCCAAAAATACATTTTTTCTATGTTGTGAACAAAGAATTGCCTACCGTTAATAAACTGCGTTTGGAATTAAAAAGAGATACATTTTCATGGGAGTCATCATCATCATCACCACCAGCCTATTAATGTCCCCACTGCTGGGGTACAGGCCTTCCCTATGGATGGAATTGGGAGTTTGGGCCATGACCCACCAAGCGGGCCCAATGCGGATTGGTGGGTGCTAACGACTGCAGATGCAGACTGCATTCAAGGGAATAATACTACTTTATGAAGAATATTGAAATTTTTAGGTTTTCGATTCAAACGTTGTCAATCTAATCTAAAAAGTGTTGATGGAACGATATGATAGTAGGACTGTGGTGTTCTTAAATGAAATTTACATTCATCCGACATTGCACGCTAAAAGCTGTTGGCAAAGCAAAGAAGATATCATAATCAGCTGGAAAACGTTTTATAATTGCACACGCGGGTACGAAGAGCGGATCTGTAAAAAAATGCATTATTAATGTTTAGTTCGACGATATGAACGCCACAAACTTTTTGATATAGATGACTGAAAAAGTGGTACCATATCTACCTGAAAAATCTCTTGTGGTAATTGGTTATAACAGGATTGGTTAAGACAGAAACAAAGGACATTGTTCAGCGTCCATACATAGTTAGCCTAAGAACCAACAATCATGAAATATTATTTTCTAGGTTCAAAATCGTAAGTAAATGACTGTAAAAACAAAAAATATTAACGGACACTTCTGAGAACTTAAATTATTAGGAAAGCTAAAAATTTTTTGAGGTTATATTTAATATTCAATGAAACATAGGTCCACCTATGAATTTAGTATAAACTCAGTATGAAGTGAATTAATATTACTACTAATTCATTTTATTCGGTGTGATTTTAAAGAATAACTATTAGGAAAAACTTGGTTAGGTAGGAATCATGAATAAAATAAAAACTGTAGTTTTGTTTCTTATTTATTGACTATTTTTCACATAATTGTATCATATTGTTTATTGTATTTATTTGTATATCACATGTAGGTATATTGTGTAAATATGCAGCGTGAATGTGTATCAGGTGTTCTTGAATAATTTGGCAGTATGATCCTCTCAGGATGTTGTGGCACAGGTTCACTAGCACTTGGTAATAAGGGCTCTGCTCTTTGGTAACATCGATCGCATATTAGATAGCCGAAATAGTTAAATTAAAGGAAAAACAATCGCAAATAAACATACACAACAGGTAATCCGAAACGAGAACGCACTTTCCGGTATATTAAACTACTCTTTGGAATGCACGAATGCCACAGATTACTACGAATGCAAACTGCATGACCACAACCACAGAGTAACGAGTTTTATGCCGGCCCTTCACTTAACAACAGTTTGTCCTTGTCATGCTTAATAAGGAATGAAAAGGACAGACTGATGTCATGATTTAAAATAGCAAATACGAATAGCCAAGTGAAGTGCCGGCATTAGGAAGAAAGAGTGTTTTGTTTGCAGCGCTGCCATAGATTTTACACATAAAATGGTATTTATTGTCTCAGTTTATTTTTTAGCTTTTTAATTTAGCTTACTTAACTGGAAGTGTCCGTCAAAATCTAAATACTGATACTTATCGCAAAAAATATACTAAGAATAATCATAAATGCCAAATTGGTGTTGGTTCTTAGGCCAATTTTAACATTGTCCTTTTCTTTGATGAGAGATGGACTAAACCAGTGTTATATGATACTAGCAAACCAGTGAACCAAATGTTCACCACAACCTGATTTTAAAAAAAAATGTATTTAATTAATTGAGAACTTCGGAGATTTTGTGTGGTTTCGTTTGAAATTCGTGATTTCTCGAAAACCGGAAGTGCTACGTTACTCAAATCCGGTTTGTAGTCTTATTAGACTATTCTTAAATTATAACTTAAATATTCTCTTTATCTATCTCTTACGGTTTGGCCGCTGAAACAGCACTACAGACAGACGGACGGACATGTCTAATAGATAAGACATTATTAAAATAAACAAAGAACCACGGCTCTTTGCAGTTAATGAACTACTGAAACAACACAATCACGAAGTGGTAAAATTACCTCCTTACCACGGTTACTAAATCCTATCGAAAATAAATGGAGTTTGGTAAAGAGACGTTTGAAGAGAGTTTAAAGAGTTTGAAGCTGCAAGGCAGATCCCTTCGCATTGTAGGTAACCCGCAATGTCAAATGAATACCTTTACAAGTATTAAACATTTGAAAGAATAAAATAGCAATTAAAGTTATATATCTTTTTTATATTTTAGGCATTTATTTATTCTACTCACTAAATTGAAAAATCGCGATAAAGCAAATAATTCACGTTGTAATGTGAAATTTTGTAATCAGGTTACACAGGTAAACTTTACTCTCGATAAAAAAGTTTTAGAAACATTTGCTTAGCGGAAGTCACACAGGAAGTTGAATAGAGTATAGGTATAATGTGAACCAAACTTTATTGCGGTTGTGAAGTTAGCAGCGGACGCTACCAAGCGCAGCCTTCAGTTCACTGACGGCGGGTGCACGTAACTACATCATCCTTCTTTATTTTGTTTACTGCGCCGTGATTTTGCGCTAATTTTATTCATCGCCATTAAGTTATTAAACGCAGTCTAGCGTATTTTCCGGCCGTAAGAATGGGGTGAAATGATCTTCTTACTGAAGTCTTAGTCTTATACGTTTTACTGCATTGTTTCAATTCATTGTAGATTGTTATTTAAATATTTCTTCTAATAAATTTCATTTTATAGGTTTCAAAATCTTACGTAATAATTTGTATTTATGAACAGGCATAGTGATCCGTCAAATAGCCGATTTGCTCTGGGAGTACGAGCGCGTGACGCTGCCGTTGCCAAGAATGGTTCCACTAGCTTACAGAGAAGCTCTAAGACTACAGTGCTACTTGGAAAGACAGCTCAAACCCACTTGGGACTGGCTTGTCACCGTTATGGACGCTACGGAAGCTCAACTCAGGTATGATCTATACATTATAATAAAATGGTAGGAAAGTCAAAACTTTACATTGAATATTTTTTTTTAAAGAATACTTAGGGTGTGATCTAAAATCGACACCGAAACCAAAAATATAGTTTTTAAAATTTTTGCCTGTTTGTCATACATGCAGACGGTCCGGGATAAACTCAAAAATTACTGCATGGATTTACTTCAAATTTGGCACGAATATTATTAAGAAGTCGGGTCAACGTATAGGCTACATATTATCACGCTATCACTTACGGGGAACGAGCAGTGAACCTTTATTTCTAACTAACTCCACGCGTGCGAAGTCGCGGGCGGCCACTAGTTATAAACTTAAAACTGAAAAAAGCACACTTCTAAAAACATCGTTCTCTAGTCTGCTTTGTTCTTTTTTGCGGAAAAAATGTTTTTTCGGAGTAAGTACGATATCTAAATGTTATTCTAAACTTTTAGATTTGGCGCGTCGCTCACGTCAAACAATGCCAGTACTTCTGTCACTGAAGGTCGACCAAATGCTCCAGCCGCGCGACGCGCGACTTCCTTCACATCTCCCGTTACTCGTATCATCGGCTTTTCAGAGGGTCCGAGGGCAAGAGATCGTGAACAAGGTAATGTTTCTACATTGAATTAAATTTTAGTAACAATAATGAGATTTTTTCACCACAGTCTTGCAACTCTCCTTACTTGTTGTACAGCAATCTTCCCGGGTTTAAAATTACCGTAAAGTTATAAGCTATTTCTCACTTAACTGTTTTGTCATTCCCCAGGAGTAGAAGCAGGCAGCGCCCGTCGCGAGTTCCTAGCTTATTGCCTGTCGCTTCTACGCGCGCACAGCTCCGAACATGCGGAACAACTGCCCGTACTTGACGTGGCCGCGCTCAAACACGTAGCTTATGTTCTGGACGCGCTCGTATACTATATGCGCGCCGCTCAACCACAGCCGCATCATCATCACCACCTCTGGACTCCGGTAAGTCTACTTTCCAATCTAACTACCTATCTAGAATGGTCCGAACACGCAGAACAACTGCTCGAATTAGACGTAGCCGCACTCAAAGACATGGCTTAAGTTCTGGACGCTTTCGTATACTATATGATCGCCGCTCAAACATAGCAGCATCATCACCACCACCTCTGAACGCCGGTCAGGCTTGTTTTCATTTTATCCAGCTATCTAGAATGGTCCGAATACGCGGAACAACTGCCCTTACTGGACGTGGACGCGTTCAAACAGGTAGCCTACGTTCTGGACGTGTTCGTTTGCTATATGCGCGCCGCTCAACCGCAACACCGGTAAGTCTTATTTCCACTGTAACTACCTATTTAGAACGGAATAAAATCGACTTTCATTTGTTTTTCTTTGCTCGTAATTTGTGGCAGCGGGAAAGCGTTAATTTCAAATTTAGCGACAGTTCGACTATAGTATTTCGACTCGCTGTGAGGGATTCAAAAGACTCTTGTGAGCCTGCTTGACTGGAAGTAAAAATTATCACAGTAGTTAGGAGTATAATTTGTTAACGGAAACAGTATTACATAATCGCTTACCAAAGACAAGGATTTAAAACTGCGAGAAAGGGGGCTGTCATAGTCAGGAGTAACTGTGTAATTATCCTGCCAATGACAGAAAAGTCGATACTATAGGTAGACCGCTTAACTGAGTCCTCGCCTGCGGGGTAAAGGGTATGGGGGTAGGACGAGAACTGAGTGCGTGAGACGAGATGGCGGCTGGCGCTTGTAATTTTGACAAGAATGTGTCGGCCGCCCGCACCTCTCACGGTCCCGACACCCTTTACCCCGCAGGCGAGGGTTCTCTCATTCAGTTAAGCGGTCTACCTATAATTTGTTTTCGTGAATAGAGGTAGAAGATATATAAATTAATATATTTTTTTTGATTTTATTAGAGATTGTACATCACCAATGTTTATGTGTAGGACGAGAACGAAAACGAGGAAGGCGACGAAGAAATGGTTGTGGGCGGAAGTGCAGCCGCCGAGTCTGACGGCGAGGGCGATGGCGCCCGTGGACGAACTCATGCTTTCTTCCAGCGTTCCGAGTCTACACTATGCCTCGGATGCCCACCCCCGGACCCATTCAATAGTAAGTTTCTACCCGTACTAATGTTTAAATACAGAAACTTTACTCCATAGACACGGTTGTTTTTTGGTAGGATGAGCAACAAAATTTAGGTGTATCATGAATAAATGTAATACATTGTATAAAAGTCACATTTTGCGTCTGTCTGTATAGCCGCTTACTTCTCCTTTAACGTGGTGGGAGCGAGCGGGACATTACTTGCTCTGCGCACTTGATGTCCTCACAAAACTAGCTTTTGATGAATCGATGGAAGCGACCTATTTACAATCTCCCATTACACTTTTTATGTGCCTTTCTCTGCTAGGTCGCGTGAACGAACCGAATGTAATCTGTTTATAATAATGAGCATTGATTAAAATGTCATGTTATGTTGGTGCAGTGACAATGCAAGACGCCTTGCCGCTCGCGGACCAACCGCAGCTGCTGCAGCCGAACGCAAGGCGCGAGGAGTTGTTTGGCATGCCGCGACAGCCCGTCACCGTGCCTGCCTCGGGAGACGCGCCGCCCGGCGTCAACAACCCGCTAGAAGGTAATATACTGACATCCTCAATGACGATGCCAGACACCTTACCGCTCACGGACCAACCGCAGCTGCTGCAGCAGAACGCAAGGCACGAGGAGTTGTTCGGCATGCCGCGGCAGTCTGTCACTCTGCCCGGCTCAGAAGACGCGCCGCTCGAGGTCATCAACCCGCTAGAAGGTCAGTGACGATGCCAGAAGCCTTGTCGCTCGCGGACAAACCACAGCTTCAGCAGTCTAACGTGTGGTGCGAGGATTTGAACTTTCATGGTCACTTATATTATAGTAATGAGTGAGATCGTAGCACTTGCAACAGTGAAGAAATATTGGGGACTCACTTATTAAGGAGGTATTTTCATGACCGACGATGTTTTTGTCAAACAGTTTAGAGAATTCCCTTAAAATATAGAGAACAGACTTAATACATTTTGAGATGTATCTTTCTAAAAATGTGTTTTTCAATATTTAACACACTATTCTGATTACAGTGGTTCCGCGAAGGCTCGGACTGTCGAGTCGCGGCACGGATCGCGGCTGGTCGCCGCCCGCGCGGCCCGCCTCTGCCCCGCCCGCTCACGCCCACTCTCTAGCACGTGACGAACCGCAGGTAACCTTGTTATATTAACCACACAGTTACAAAATCGAGCTAATATATATCCTTTGACTGTCTATTAAACGGGAGTAGCCCTAAGCACTTCATTCCATACAAATGTTTCTGTCAATTCTGCCGGGGGATGAGGTACACACGTATAGCACGTTAACGAACATATGCAATACTCTCACAAACACAGGCGAGTTGTTGCTACGAACGCACACTTCATAAATCACGTCACACAAACAAAAAATCGCAAACACGCTAACAATTTTTATGTAACTGCAATTTTTAGAACAAACACAAAAGTTTGGGATGAGACATTAAAAGAATGAACAAAATGTTTGTTTAAAATGAAAACAAAAAGTTTCAACATCATCCTGCATAATTATTAAACAATAATACAGTCGGACCACGATAACTCTGCAGTGGACTGACAATAGCAAAAATTAAAACTTTGCACATGGCAGTACTGATTATAGTAGAATTAACTATCCATGATACTTTTTTTTTAACGACTTAAAAGAGGAGAAAGAATATATATGTACATGCAATACATCAAAGTCTCGAGCTCCTTGAGTAGGATATGAATATTATATGTGTCGGGACGGGGTTCGAAAGTATAATGCCAGTTTACACTTGACAAGACAGTAAACACTCAATATTAGCCACAAATCACAATTAACCATAGAGCAACAGAGCCGACGCGGCTAGGAGGGGTGTAGCCATAATGACATACTACTGAAATTGAAAACAAATAAAATTGCCGCTGGGGCATCCTATGTTTTTCTCAAAGTATATACCACATTATTAAAAAAACACATTAACTCAGGCGAGGCCATGACATATTTTAGGCTAAGTTCAGATGTTCGAGCGTACATGATCATGCGCGTTGTTAATGCGCGATCATCTGCACGGGTATACAATACATATAATACATAGGGTATTAGAAACTACGCGCGACCATCTGCACTAAGCCTTTTATCGCTCAATTACATTTGGTCTCTAGCCCGTATACATTTAACAATATTTACACTGGAATACGGCCTGGAGGACGCCTGAATTCGGGTAGTTTTCGTATTGGTTACGACCTTACACGCATGTGTAATCGCGCCGTTTATAAGAAAGTAAAAAAAAAAAAATATTCTTACACACTTGTCCAATTTTTCAGTTCATGGTCTTAAGCGTTTTTGTAAACCAAATTGCAAGTCTATGGCATGATTTTACCACTAAACATTGATACTTATAAAAAAATTTCCTATTTCACTGTTAGATATACTTAAGTAATTTCTACACATTTAATTTTTTAGGATCTCTCTTGCACGAAGGATATGACGACAAAAATGGACATTGATACGGACGGAGAATATTTATCAGACTCTGATTCCAATGAAGCTAGACAAATACCTAGGAAAAAGCAACATCGGTAAGATTTTCTTGATAATTTAAATGTTAATGTTTGTTTCTTCAAAGGCTTTATTAATATTTTCAATAATATAATGTATTCCATACAGACACCCACATACGATGACAATGACAGCGGGCGGTAGTTCGGAGCCGACTGTGCAACCTTCCGAATTCCACACCCTGGTGGACACTGCTTGTTCCATCATCGAAGCTCCTCACCAACAAAGCATCGTGGCTTCACCATCACCTGGTAAAATTAAATACATATAAATATAAAACTTAATATCGGCAATCGAACAACAGTACGGCATATATTGTAATATTTTATAGCTTCTAGGCGGCCATTAAAAGCGTCCAAGGTGCGGTCGAGTTTTTCATACATTTTGTACAGTATCGGTGGCTGCGTCTAGGGGTTTCATTCACCCACTACTGGTTGTGTTTAGTAGCCGCCAAAAGTGGCTCAATGTCTGCTTGCTCTAAAGGTCCCAAGTCCCGTTTTTTTTGACATTGTTACTAACTATCTATCTATTGGCCCATTGGCCCAGACAATAATAAACATTTATCATGTAAATAAAACTAGTTTTTACGGGTTAATGCACGAAACTTTGTTTATTTATTGACGTTTCGCAGCCTTTTCAGGTCTGCATCGTCAGAATAATGATTTTTTATTTAAAATTGTCGAGCTACCTTCGAAAGACTTATATTAAATTATTAAAAATCTTCCAATGAAATAACCGAACGCTCAATATAAGTCTTTCGAAGGTAGCTCGACAATTTTAAATAAAAAATCATTATTCTGACGATGCAGACCTGAAAAGGCTGCGAAACGTCAATAAATAAATAAAGTTTCGTGCATTAACCCGTAAAAACTAGTTTTATTTAATGAGTGATGTGCGTGAAAACCTAAGAAACAAATTTATCATGTATTTTTTCCTTGTTATATAACCAGGTCCGAGCGGTGCGACCACATCAGAACCGCGAGCATCCTCTTCGCGTAGCCCTGGCAAGACTGTTATTGTACGTGCTGTAAGTCACTCCACTTATTTGGGGGACTTTTTATTATCAAAATTCATTCCCTGCCTCCTTCGATTGGTTTTAGTTTCGCTACTAATAGTATTTTTCATTTTAAAACAAAGCTTGCGTAATGTCTTTATATATAAGTAGATGCAATAATCATACAGGCCGAATCTCGGCGAGTGAATGTTGAATATATTTATAATAAATACCCAGGTAATGCTATTTCATATGTCAATAAATATGAAGGATGAGTAAAAGTTCTCTGCAAATGTATCTGTTACTACTAATTGGTTTTATTTTAGGGTGAACTATTGAGCGCAGCGGATCCACTCGAGTCTCAAGAGATATCTGCTCATGTGACTGTTGAAACCACTGGCTTGCCACCGCCTCCACTACTTCCACCCTTGAGCACCCCGGCCCCACCGTAAGTTTATTATCATGAAACAAAATGCTTCCCCTTTTTTTATCTTTTATATAAAATTCTCGTGTCACAATGTTAGTTACCATACTCCTCCGAAACTATTATAAAATATACCACCCCAGGCCACTTACGATTTGCATCCCATTCCCCGCTCATCCCATCCCCTGGGCTCTGGAGCCACAGCCCCGTCTACCCTGCCTTAAATCAGGCCCTGATCATATTCACAAAAATTTGGTCGTCCACAGTCGAGCGTGTCCATCGCTAGGCGCATCAGTATCTCACGATTTACTGCTCGGGCGGTGGCGGCTCTCGCTGGACTTGTTCGGGCGAGTGTTCACCGAAGACGTGGGCCTGGAGCCGGGCTCTGTGGTCGCGGAGCTCGGCGGCTTCCCCGTCAAAGAGGTCAAGTTCCGACGCGACATGGAGAAGCTCCGCAACTCGCAGCAAAGGGATCTCACTCTACACAAGGTTGGTGCTTTGCATTACTTGTTCAATGGTGTTGGTCTCACGATTTATTGCTCGGACTGTGGCTTGTCTCGCTGGCCTTGTTCGGGCGTGTGTTCACCGAAGACGTGGGCCTGAAGCCGGGCTCCGTGGTCACCGAGCTCGGTGGCTTCCCTGTCAAAGAGGTCAGGTTTCGACGCGACATGGAGACACTGCACAACTCGCAGCAAAGGGATCTCACTCTAGGGATGTCGAAAGTTGAAAAAAATATCGATATATTGATACATCGATCTTTTAAAAAATATCAATATCGGCTTCGATATATCGCGAAAAAAACATCGATATATCGGACCAATTTTCCCAAAAATATCGTACAGTATCACGAAATATGACACGCGGAATAATAATGGAACGAAAATTATCTCCCTAAAAATAGACCCTATTTTCGAATGATGAAAATGATTGCAGGGCCTCTCAGGTAAATGATTGCAGGGTCTCTTTCGTAAACAAGACTAGACAGTCACACACTTCACAGAATATAATGGAAATCAGCACAACCAATTGTATACTAACACATGGATCTATGTTGTCCGAATAATAAATGATTTGAATTCACCAGCGAAACAGATTTACAAATAATAGACAATACTAAATACAGCACAGATCATAGATATGTTGAATATCATTAATCTGAGATCCAGTTACGATTTTTCCAGATACGAATTTAGTTAGATCGTGATATGCCGCTAATAATTAAAAAAATATCGTTTTTGATACGAATTTCGATATTGGTTATTATATTAATAGTATAAACTAATATAAACATAAGTAAATAACATGAGATCGTTTTCTAAAAGTATTGTATCTGTAAATTCCCTCGTAATTATAATTCTATTTTATTAATTTTATTCTGACTACTGTCAATCCATTCGAAACACGTGATTAATAATATCTCGCAATTCTGCCAGAAAAGAGACCGTATGTCTCCTACCGCAATATTTAATTATTTATTGGCGCTAGTTTAAAATGATCTCGCGTTTCCCTAGATGGAGCGCGACCGCGCAAAACTACTACAACAAACGTTCGCCGAATTGAACAGCGCGTTCGCGGGCCAAAACCGGCGCGCGCACACCGCGCAGCCGCCGCTCGCCGTCAACCGCGTCAAGGTGACGTTCCGCGACGAGCCCGGTGAGGGCAGCGGCGTCGCCCGCTCCTTCTACACCAGCGTCGCTGAGGTAACTCTCCACAAGAGATCTAAACATTTGTAACAAATGTTCGTGATTAATATCTTAACAATATAAGTGTTTAAAGCTTTATCTTTTATGCTATTTATATTCAAATCAAGAACAATTTGACACTGAGTTATCCTGATGAGATAATTATTACATGATTGTGGGTGATGGCTACTATTCACAGTCACATAATAATTTTGTCTTACTTAAACAGCAGCTAGAAAGTTACTCTGTGATTTAGTTTTACTTAGTATACCAACTTGTCAGATTTAAGTTTCCTTTTGGGATATGCCATCACCACTCAACATATTTACTACGGTTTTAAATCACAGGCATTGCTCGCTAACGAAAAACTACCACCGTTAGAACCTACGACCGGTAGTGGTAGTAATAGCAGCAGTACAAACGGCACATCTGGATCGACCGGAACCACAGCTAGCGGAGCTAGCAACAACAGCGGAGCGAGGTAAGTTGACAGAACATCTTAAATTTGTTAACTTCATGTTTGCTGTGTTAGTGCTGTTCAAGTTTTTTGGGTGGTAGATAATTTCATATAAATTTTGTTTCTGCTTACCTTATAATAAGCTTTTGACGAACTGGCGAACAAAACGGTATAATTACATAAAATTAAGATTATTTTTACAGGAGCTGTAAAAAAAACTAAATGACATACCTCCAGTGAGCTTTTTGGTTTTTAATTTATAAATTTAGTAATTTTAACATATTTTAGGCGGTTTTCATTGAAAATTATTTGTGATTCAAATTCAACGGGCCCGAAACCTCTGGACTGTAAAAAAAAAATAGTTTGACCAGATCCGTAATTATAGCGTTTTATTCGCCAGCTCCTCAATTATAGTAGATGATAGCGGGTTTTGAACGAGTTTTGTGTATTATATAGTAGAAGCGGGGCAGGCCGAGCGCGCTCTAAGGACACGGCGCGGCGCACGCCCGGACGGCCCGCGCCGCGCCCGCCAGCCGCGCGCGAACCCCGCCGCGTGCTCAGCATAGACGCGCGACCTTATTCGCCGCAGGTAAACCAACAAATACCAATTCGATTCGAACACGTGCAAAAACACACTGAAGTTTTGAAACTACTGCTGCTTCTGAAGCTACCATACTAAATTTTTATTAGAATCTATTATGATACAAAGGGCGTTTACGCACAGCAACTAAGAAAGGGGAAGACTAAAATTTTATACATATAATGCGAATTTCTAATGAAATCAAAATCTGATGAGGGTAGAGAGAGGTTTTCTTTCAGTGCCTTTTGGTCGAAGCTTTCACTGCACGTTTAGGTACTAACACTAGGCCAATATTTTATACATGTTTTAAGGTTTTATTTTCATTGAAACAAAATAATAACATAAAGCTCGTAATTTTATTGGCAGAATGATGGTTTACAGGCTGCGCCTGGCACCGAAGGTGCTGGATACAGCGGCGAAAGACCCGGAGGACACAATGAACATCTTACGCTACACCAAGCTCAATTAGGCGAAAGACTCTACCCTAAGGTATGTTTTTAACATTTCTGACAGGATTAATAAAACAGCTTTTGAATATTTTCTGATTAATTTGTCGTTTTTAGGTTCATTCTCTGCACCCGACGTTTGCTGGCAAAATAACTGGCATGCTATTGGAACTGACGCCCGCTCAACTATTAGTTTTACTCGCGAGCGAAGATGCGCTCCGCCAGAAAGTTCGCGAAGCTATGGATCTCATTGTGATGCACCCGTCTGAGGCGATACTAGGTATGTATCCTTCTTTAACTGCAGTGTATTCTTAATGATTATTATTATTTTAGATGTCTTTATTCTTAGTTATGATCAGGTTGTCTTGAATTTTTATAAACATGATAGAAGTAAATGCCGCCATAGCGTAAAGAAACTTGCGCTACTATAATATCGCGTGTTGTCTACTTTGTGATCTACTATCCCGTGGAGTTCTGGAAACCGTACTACAGGAGCACAGCACGAAATAAGTTATTTAGTTGCATGTTACTGTAAGGTTCATGTTACTACATCAGATTGCCTATCCAATTGTAGCTGAAAATCCGCCTGCCCCTCCTCTTTTGCTAGTAAACGTGGCGTAGGCCCCCTTTGTCGTGTGTCGTCGAATCTTGATATGGTACACGTCAGATTTAGACGTGTTCTCGCTGTCGGAGCGCGGCGGCGGCGGCGGCGGCGGCAGCGGTGGCGGTGGCAGCGGCGGCAACAGCGGCGGGGGCGGGAGCGGAGGCGGCGGCAGCTCCGCGGGTCCGTCGGCCGCGGCGACGGCGGCGGACGACGCGGCGCCCCTCTTCTACTCGCCCGGCAAACGCGGCTATTACTCCCCGCGTCAGGGGCGGGCCACGGCTGAGAGAATCAACGCATTCCGAAACGTCGGCAGGTCAGCGCCGCCCGTACTAAACAAAATTATGCTATGAGATAATAACACCATCATTCTGCAATCGAAGTTAAATTTGAACATGTATCTTTTTATTATGATATTTATTATATTCTGAAGAATTGAAGTGTGCTCTTCTCATTAACAATTATGAAAAAAGTATGAATACTGCTTGTGAAAATTTAAACACGAATGCGTTCGCGTTTTTACAATCGCTTTGTATATGTTACCGGCCAAACCCGATTTCAGGACAAACTAGTTTTGCCTAGGCTAAACTGCTTCTTCCTATACGCGATAGGACTAACTAGTATAGCCTAGTCCAAACTAATTTGTCCTAAGCCCGATAGGATAAACCAGTTTAGCCTAGGCCAAAATAGTTTATCCTGATACAAATACGCATACTCTAGGATAAAGTAGTATGGCCTAGTCTAAACATTATAGTATATCTAGAAAGTCAAAATAAATAGATAAACTGAATAAAAACTCCGTAATTGGAAAAATAATATTTTTTTTAAAACGATAATGATTCATCGTTTAAAGTTATTGATAATTAGTAATACAAACAATTATACTATAACAAATAATATGTGTTTTTTTAATAGAAGCAATAATCATATCTCAATTATTAAAATTGTTATTTAATTTTACATGGTGTACTTTGGTGGCACTTAGAATTGCAGAGTATCATTGCCTTCTCGCCTTCTTGAATTGCAGAGTATCATTGCCATCATTGGCATCTGTTTGTGGAACATTTTTATTGCAGCTGCATCTCACAAAACAGAAGGCCTATTTATTACTTATGTGTGCAAGTGTACCCATGCGCATAAACACTCCCTCCACTTTCTTCCTTCTTTCTTTTTACATGACGCAACCTGTAAAAGTCCTGACATGTTTGTTCAATTACTTTCGACTCTGCTAAATTGGTTTAGGGCCGTAGGGACGTAGGCCGTACTAGTTTATCCTAGAGTGTGAGTATTTATATCAGGATTAACTAGTTTGGCCTAGGCTAAACTGGTTTATCCTATCGGGCTTAGGACAAATTAGTTTGGACTAGGCTATACTAGTTAATCCTATCGCGTATAGGAAGATCTAGTTTAGCCTAGGCAAAACTAGTTTGTCCTAAAATCGGGTTTGGCCGGTAACATATACAAACACAAAATCGTTTTGGTTTATTACTCAAAAGAATAATAGTCTACCTCATTAGAGTTTCATCATATTTACATTTAGGGAAGCGACTTACTTGGTGACCGGCTTTTTTTAAATCAAACTACCACTAATGAACGCAATCACTCCTACAGAATCATCGGGTTGTGCCTGCTACAAAACGAACTGTGCCCAATGTTCCTGAACCGGCACGTGCTCAAATACATGCTGGGGCGACCGGTGCGGTTCCACGACCTGGCCTTTTTCGACCCTGTCGTGTACGAGAGTCTGCGGCAACTCGTTGTAGATGCCGAGACCGGCGACTCCCACTCGCTGTTCGCCGCGCTAGATCTCAACTTTAGGTATGCATAATATGGATAGGTTGTTGTATGGATTCATTATATGGATGATTTTGTGTCATCATTTGGATCTCTTCATTGGTAGGGCAAAGGCTATCCCTGTGAATATATTTAAGATGAAACGATAATCGGGTGGTGCCTTCTCCAAAACGAATTCTGCCCGATGTTCCTGAACCGGCACGTGCTCAAGTACCTGCTCAGGCGATCTTACTACCAGTGGATTTCCTTATTTCATTCCATCGTCCTATTCGCTCCATAGACTTTCGTTGTAGATGGAATAGGGAGGATGGAGCAGGACCTGCCACGCGGGTCGAACGTGGATTTGGCGGATGCTAACACTGCAGTGGCAGTCGGTACTAATGGCTTGAAGTGCGTCCAAAGCCGAGAGGAGCTCGCATTAGTAAATGTTCGTTCATCCAACCTACGACTGGACATTCGAAGTTTGCTTAACATCGTGTCATCGTGCTACTGGGTTTTGTCTAGAACCAATATTTTATTTTACTAGAGCTTGCGAGGTCTAATTGTCTGACTTACTTCTTTCGCTGTCCCTTTATTTCATATATTTCGGGAAAGAGGTTTTGCTCATGTCACATAGAAAGTTGCACTATCTTTGACGCTCAGTTGTTTTTATGTTGTTCACATGTTTGTTTTATATGTGCAGTTTGGAAATGTGCGAAGAGGAGGGCGGCGGATGCGTGGAGCTAGTTCCCGGCGGGCGCGAGCTGGAAGTGACCGCGCTCAACGTGTATGACTACGTGCGGAAGTACGCGCAACACCGCATGCTGCTGTCACAGGAGAAAGCGTTAGAGGTAAGTACTTCTAATACTGCTGGTTTGGTATACAAAACTTTTTGATTCATAAACTATTGAATCGGGATAATTATACTTCGACTTTTTATTAGCTGCAGTAAAATGACGTTTCAAAATGTCATTCCGTAAAATAATGTTGACAGCTTAATTTCAATAGGGATGTGCTTAGGTTCACAGAAAATCTAATCGTTCCATAAGTAACTCATAATGATCATACTTAATTCTATTTATTATTCATATAAATAAAAGGCTGTACCAAAAGGCCAACTTCTCGAAAGAGACATTGAAAAAAATTATGAAGCATCTTAATTTCAAATTCGCTACTTGATCACGCAAGAGCGTACTTATTGATAGATAAGATATCATATCATGGCGCCAGCGCTATTTAGTTTAATTAAACAATATCGTAGGGAGGGAAGATACATATATTATCAAGACGAGACCTGGATCAACGCTGGTAAGTGTCAACTCTTAGTTTTCTATGTTTGATCCCCTTTTGTTTAGCTGTCGAAACATATGATTATTTTTTGTTCTTTCAGGTCATACTACAAAAAAAAACCTGAAGTGGTAGTAGTATAAAATCTTCTCGACATTCATTTTTAGAAGGTCTAACTACGGGATTAAAAAATCCCACAGGAAAGGGCAAACGACTCATAATCAGTCACATAGGCGGAGAAGAAGGCTTTCTGGACGACGGACTTCTTATGTTTGAAGCAAAGAAAGGTACAGAAGATTACCATGATGAAATGAACGCAGAGTGTTTCGAGGAGTGGTTCGACGGCATTCTACCCAAACTCAAGCCGAATGCAGTAGTCGTAATGGACAACGCGCCCTATCATTCTAGGAAGATCGAAACAATCCCAAATATGTCGTGGACGAAAGCACGAATTCAAGAGTGGCTGACCACTAAAAATATTACATTTGAACCAAATATGGTGAAGGCCATTCTCATAGATATTGTAAAACAACAAAATCATACTGAGAAATATGCCGTGGACGAGATTGCTGAAAAAGGTATCAGACTTTTAAGACTGCCCCCTTATCACTGTGAATTGAACCCCATCGAGTTGGTTTGGGCTCAGGTAAAGGGGCACGTCGCAAACAATAATAAAACATATAAAATGCAAGAAGTGAAAACTTTATTCCAAGAAGGAATCAACAAAGTGACACCGACTAAGTGGAGTGACTTTGTGTCTCACACTACAAAAGAGGAAGACAAAATGTGCCACCTCGATCATATTATAGAAGAAGTGACAGACAGATTTGTCATTAGTGTGACCGGAAGCGATACTGATTGCGAAAATGATTGATTAATAAATAACATTGTTATGACAATTTTGTTTAATTTTGGATGTACTTCCACTGAAAAAGATCAATCCAATCAATTACTAAAGTAATAATAATAGAATAAAAAAACATTACATCTTAATATTAAATCTCTAAAATAAAACCAAACTGATCACTCATTTATTGAACGATTCACTTACTCACTTAGCTACATCCCTATTTATTTTTCTTCAAAAAGCGGTAACCTACAAAACGTCATTTTACTGCAGCTAATAAAAAGTTCTACTTTAGTGTACCGTGCTACGCCAGCCGCGGAAGGGTTATTAATTACACTCGATATTATATCTAGTTTTACTTATGTGGATTGCCATTTTGCTCTAGGTGGCAGATTAGGAAGAATATTTATTACTTTGATGGTTGAGAAACAGTCTTGGTACTTTAACGGAATGAAGCATTTCATGTTATATTCAGACACTGATTACTTCGATCGTTGCAAAAAAGGCTTGTTACTTACTGTATTTGAGCATACAACTCACCTGTGAATCATCTCATTAATTTGATTTGATTCTAATCCCTATCACATCCTTTAATTTAAAAGGTATTACACATATTGTACAAAATGTGCAACAGTGAGATGCATGTGTGCTTGCGCTGTGTCACACGCAATATGCAGTTATTAATAGACCAACTACCGTAAGAGGAGCGCGTTTCATTTGTCATTATATATCCCAAACAGGCAATGCGAGTGGGTGTGATAGACGTGCTGCCCGAGTCCGCGCTAGAGGGTCTGACGGCGGAGGACTTGCGGCTACTCTTGAACGGCGTCGGCGACATCAACGTGGCGGCACTCGTCTCCTACACCAGTTTCAACGACGAGAGTGGCGAGCCGCCCGAGAGACTGGCGCGCTTCAAGCGCTGGCTGTGGGCCATCGTCGACAAGATGACGCACCTCGAGCGGCAGGACCTGGTCAGTCATACCCTATCATGTATCTATCTATAATTCATCAATGTGGCATCGCTCGTCTCCTACTCCAGCTTCAACGACGGGAGCGGCGAGCCGCCCGAGACTGGCGCGCTTCAAGCGCTGGCTGTGGGTCATCGTAGACAAGATGACGCACCTCGAACGGCAGGACCTGATCAGTCATACCCTATCATGTATCTATCTATAAGCCATCAATGTGGCGGCGCTCGTCTCTTAAACCAGCTTCAACGACGAGAGCGGCGAGCCGCCCGAGAGATTGGTGCACTTCAAGCGCTGGCTGTGGGCCATCGTAGACAAGATGACGCATCTCGAGTGGCCGGATCAGGTGAACTAATGGCCGCCTGCGACTTCGACCGCGTTAACTTTAGTTTTTTGAGAATCCCTCGGGAATCTAACATTTTCCAGGATAACAAGTATTCTGTCTCAGGTCAAAAACTATATGCGTACTAAATTTCATCAAAATCCGTTCAGTAGTTTTTGCGTGATTAAAAAATAAACATACAAACTTTCACATTTATAATATTATTAGGATTTGTAGGATATATAAACCATCATCAGCTTATTAATGTTTACACTCATGGGCCGCAGGCCTTTCTTATAGATGGAATAGGGTTAACGGGGCATGACCCGTCATGCAGGCCCAGTGAGTGCTTCCGACTCAAATATCGTTTATTTAGTTTAGGCTGATACAATCACTCATGAATATCTAGAAACTACGCCATAGTTTCTCAAATCTACACCAGGAGGCCTGAGGCCCAGGCACGAATTTCGACAGATCCGTAATCGTATCGTCATCATCAAATTTTGTATAGAATTAGCCAGTTTGTTTTTGCATCAGGCAGGGGCACTGTTTAGTTTTCATTGAAACTGATGATGCGATACTTTTACAAAGCTGTCAAAGTTTGTGCTTGGGCCTGTGCTGAGAATTACACACCAGAAACTCGGTTTTAATATTGTTACCTAAAGAGTTGCGAGTTTGAAAAATGATTTCATTACATAATGGTGTTCGCAGGCCACTGCTCCTTTAAGCTCCTTATTGCACATATACAAGTCAGTTATGGCTAAGTACTTTGTGTTGCGCAGGTATACTTCTGGACGGGCTCGCCGGCGCTGCCCGCGTCGGAGGAGGGCTTCCAGCCGATGCCGTCGGTGACGATCCGGCCGGCAGACGACGCGCACCTGCCCACCGCCAACACCTGCATCTCGCGCCTTTACATCCCGCTCTATTCCTCCCGCCACGTGCTCAAGCACAAACTCCTACTCGCTATCAAAACTAAAAACTTCGGTTTCGTCTAATCGCTCGCTGCCATTTTTGTGTATTCCTTTAGTTTTAAGCCCAGTTGTGTAAGACTGTCTCCGGAGTATCGCCTCGGCCTACGCGCCGTATGCGAACCCTTCTCTATTGCCATAAATAGACCTATTGTTTATAGACTAATTAGTACTCACTAGTACCGACTTACGCATTTGTATTTTCTTGGTGTATAACTTAACTATAATTTACATGACTGGGTGTATATTTGACTGAATAGTAATATTCAATGCGCAGCAATGTTTGAGTAAAGAGAACTCCCCCCCCCCCCCCCACTGGAAGTTCTGCACAAGTACATGTAATTTTTAAACTTTTAAGCTCATAGACCATATTATGTATTTAATTGTCTCAGAGGTAATAGATATCAAATCACACAATAATTGGATCATCAGATTAAAGTTGTTTGTTAGAGTAAAATCATTGCTTTAAATTATTTTTATGATTCATGTTTCTATACTTTTTTTATGTAATGGCCTAATTTAACTGTGCATTTGATTGCTTCCCTCAATTATTTATTAGCACTTTGCTTATTGGGAGATGAAGGCAGCAGCGTGACTCTTAAAATATTCAAGAAATATTTTTAACTGTTTATAGCTTTGTTATATAGTAAAAATTATATAAGATAGAATATGATGGGTACATTGCTACTCATGGGCGAGCTTGGACAGAGAGGCGTCAGATCCGAGCAATGGTGACTTGTGATATCAGAGGAAGTATTTATGCGCCTCAATCTCTAAAATTAAGTTTATAATTAGATTTTCCTTTGATTAGTTGTATTAATACGGTTCATAATAAACAATCTCAAAATGCTTATTTCTTGTTTTTATTTTCAATAATTGTTGTAAGTTCCCAAGAAAGAATTCCAAAATGTCATATAAGTAACTATTTAAATGTTTCATGAAAAAAACAATAATAATATATTTATTTATTTTTGTCTTACATTATAGGGGGATAGATTAGTATTATATAAAATATCTTAATACATAGGAGAAACTGGTGCCAACTTATATCACAGGTTTCTTTGGAAAAAAGTTGCCAGGCCCTTCCCTCCCAGAATAGACAACGTAGAGAAACGATAACAATCGAGCGGGAAACTCGTAAGATGTAAAACTTACATGACTAAAGAATATTATGTTGAAATATCCAGAAACGTACACACAGAAACACGCCAGCATTGCCCGTTTTTTCAAATAATCTTATTATTTTTAGATTTTTCAATGGCAACCTGTACCTGACTCGTAAGATCGTGGGCACGACGAGACGTAGTGGTGTATCAAAATATAATTCATGACATTTTCCTTACGGGCTGCAGTCGTTAATTCCACTACGACGATATTAAACTAATTGCGGTAGTAGTTCTTTATCTCAGCCTGTTGAACCGGATTTTCCTCCGATACTCGGGAACTTACATTCAAAACAATATCCATTACCGCAGCTGCATTTTCTTCTGGTAGTTTACTAATGTTACGAATTTTTAGTGTGGTACAGTGGCAATGTTTTTCAATCATATCAATTGTGTTTTACAGCAAACAAACCTAACTTTTGTACTCACTTTTTTCTTGTTCCAAAGAGTTTATCTTCGTGAGGAGTTGTTCATGTTTATCCGTAAATAACTTGACAGAATTTTATATAGAATGATTTTGTGTGATAAGAATTAAAATAGCATTATTCACACGTTCAAATTGTCGTCCTGTTGCGACTTGGGCCCGTATTACAGAATGACAACTAAGAGTCGATCTTTACTTGAGCACAGTAAGGGATGGCGCTATGTGGTATACAGAGCGACATCCTTTTCTAACTGTACTCAAGTAAAGTACTTAGTTGTCATTCTGTAATACGGGCCTAAATGCAACGATGGTAAATACCCTAGATACACCACGTGCGCTCAAAATGTGTCCCTATCAAGAAGTGCTTGAACACGACTCAAGCACTTCTTGGTTCACAGTCACGCGCGGACCGTTGAAAAGTCAACATGCCGCTGAGCTCCGGGAAAAAATGCGAAATAAATACTTAGAATAAGAGGGTAAAATGATTTTTTTTCGACAGGTATCTAATCAATGATGTCGATTCTGGCATTATTATCTAAAGCTACACTTAAATTTGACAACAGTGTATCTTTGTCATTCTCTATACAGAATGAAACGGACAGACTGATATTAAATTAAGTTTTAAGTTTAGAGAATCCTGCCAGAATCGATGCCATTGTTTGTTAATTTAACGCATTTCAAGCAAATTTTGTTTTAATACTTACTATAAACTGATTTAATAGAAAATATTTGTGATATTCATATGCAAGATCGGTAATATAGCCGTCTCTTGTCTTCGCGGTCCGTGTCTGCTAACAGCGCATTCTGATTACGCGTAGAATAAAAGAAATAAGGTCTATACCCTTCCGTATATAGCAATAAGTCGCTGCGTGCGTTTTAATTAAGACCTTATACAGTATGCTTTAAAGGTGATTTGCAATATTTAAATAATGCCTTATATTGTTTATAATACGTGATCATCTTACAGAGCTCCGTTGATCGTCCAATGTACCTTTTGGACACGTTTCGGGCATGATTTTGTACGTGTTGGTGTATCTAGGGTATTTAATATCGTTGGCCTAAATGTCATTAAAAATTGTTTTAATTTCGGAGATAATGTAAGATTCTCCCGAAAAATCATCGAAGCTACGCTTCTGCCGTTTGTTGTTATTGAGATAACTGTCTCCTTTTAAGTTATCACATGATTTATGAAGCTACGAATCCGAGTTATAATGACTATTCGTGAGTCTTATTTGGGTTTAATGTTTATTGAAAGCGGGGCGGCTGTAGGCCTAAATGAGCCGACGGCACTCGTTCCATATTTAGAAGTGGGGCGCACAACTGACACGCCTCCAGGTGGTACCTGTATGCGACGGGATTGTAAGTTGCGCGTGAAGTAGTTGTTAGTACAGTAAAAGCTAGACTTGCAACGAATAGTATATTCGGCAGTATACCGAATATTAGGCAAAAGTATTCGGCTGGATTTAAGCGCCAAAAACTTGTACAGACTTGTTTCGCGCTCCTTTGTTTTGTTCTAATCTGCCGTCCTCAAGCTAAAATGCGGCTAAATGACAAAACTAACTTTTGAGATATAGCCAAAAACGCGCGTAAACTTTAAATTATTGCTATTATGTAACAATTCATCACATGACTGAATGAATTAAAAACTGTTAACTTGTTTAATACAGAAATGATTAAATTATGTACCTGTTTTATGTACCAATGAAAAGGTACTTACTTAATAAATGATTATAAAAGAAATAAGAATCTTACCCTTCTAAATTTTGATTACCACAATAATTCAAATACATAGAATCCTCCATTTTTCCAATTTAGAAGATGATTATGTACCAATGACTACTTAAATGATTATATAACAGAAATGAAAATATGATTAAATACGCATGGACGTATAAAAAAAGGTAAATACGTAATCAATCGATTTTAATTTTTCATTTTACCAATTTTTTCTCTATGACAAAATATATTTTTTAGTATTCGGTATTCGGCCGAATAATATGTAGATATTCGGTATTCGGCCGAATATAATAAAAGCAGCCGCATAGGCCGAATAGTAACCGAATATTCGTTGCAAGTCTAGTAAAAGCTCCTTATTCGCATGGTATACGTTCCTGAAATACCTATGCCGCGAATACAGAAACCGTGAATATGCGTATAAAATAAATAATTTATTATCTAAATAATATGGATATGAGAACTCATATTTTTTCCCGATATTGAAGACCAATACACAGGTGATCTTCTCGGTTACTAATGGTAAATTCAGTGAAGTAGTCATTTAGAAAAGTAACAAAGCAAATCACCCTTATGTCCGCAACATAATGCATAATATTGTTGTGCACATATTGTGCCAAATACTGTTTTTAAGATACAGATAATGTGCCAAATACTGTTTTTTTTTTGCTTTTTATATACAAAAAAATTTAAGTGTGCTTATGACCACCGACTGAAGTGAAACTTCTTTAGCTCCAATGATCTGAAAATCATAAATATAACCTGAAGATTTGTTGATAGAAAAAAAAACACCAAACCGCGCTGGGTCCGTTATCACCCTCCAATCCGCACTGGGTCCATTATCACTCTCCAATCCGCACTGGGTCCATTATCATCCACCAATCCGCACTGGGTCCGTTATCACCCACCAATCCGCGCTGGGTTCGTTATCACCCACCAAGCACTAGATTCATGTATTTTGTGACGGGCATTGTTCACTGTTTACCGATGACTACGCGCGTAACGCAAAAATCGTCACACATTTGCCAGTTTACCCCCCAAGTCAAACGTGCCTAAAGAAGTTTCACCTCAAAAATATTTAAAGTCGTGTTATAAATAACTACATGAAAACTAGAAAAGGCAAGGTTTAGTATAGTATTTAAAATGGGAAGAAATGAAAAACAAAGGTAATAAATACTAATGTAAACTATATTAACACAAAAATATACATGTAAAAATAAAAATAACATTGTACAGGTATTTTTCATCAATTTTTTTGAAATATGATTAAACTAAGTTTGATGAACATCTATTTCAGTTTGCTTAAGGAACTTAATAAATGGGTCCTGGTTTTTACATGTGACTTGTTATATTACTATGCATTTAATTTAGATACTATATTTAATTCATTTGACAACTTCTTATAAACTCCATAAATTACAGTGATATGGCATACATGTAGTAAAGCACTTGTTAGATTTGTACTAGGGTAAGTGTTCCAACATAATTCAATAAGAGCTAAAATAAGAAACCTCATAATGGTGGAGAAATTTGTAGACCATAAGAGATATGGTAAACTATGGAAGTACCATGTGTAAAATTGATAATGAAGACTTCTTGCACAAACAACACCAATAAAATTAACAATGAACATTGGCAAAATGAATAATTGAGACAAAATGTCAAAATTGATGCTATAGTGTGTCTCTTCATTATCAATTTCTAGAGATTTCTTATGAGCCTGTTTGCCTCCCTTTTGTGAGGATTTTTTAAGGAGATTTTCAAAGGAATTCAAGAAGTCTTCCTGTTCCTTAGACAATTTTTCATCTTGTTTCATAACAGATTTCTTTTTGCTATCTTTTCTGAGTTTAGATTTTAATTTATTATCGCGGTTCTTAACATCAATTTGTGGTTGAACCTGCCTTTGGACATACTTTAATCTGCAATAACTCTTGAAATACTTAATACACATTGGTATAAATATGAACAATAGCAAAATATGAATACCTAATAGAGTTAAGTGAAAGCATTTACTTTCAAATGTCTCAATATTGAGAAACCTATAATTCACAGTCCAAGTGTGATTAAATACACGACCCAAATCAAAACTTCCTTTTAGGTATGCATAGGGTTCACCTATTAGAAATGGTAGACCTAATATTAATTGAATAAGAGCACATACAAGCAGTTGAACAACCATATCTTTTAAACCTAAATTAACAAGATAGAAGAAAAACAAAGCAGGTGCATAAAGAAGTATGTTCATTTTTACTGAAACTCCCAAACTGTAGAAAATGCTACCAAGATACCATTTAGAATCCATAAAGAAATTAAGAGACACATATAACAGAAGCACAGCTATTGGATCATTAAACAAACGTAAAACATGAATAGAATGTATCCTGTAAGAAGTAAGAATTGTTATTACAAGAACATAAGGTGGCACTTTTTTTGTTTTTATATAGATTCTGAGCACAAAATATAATTGCAACAAATAAATTCCTATAAATATGTACTGAGCAAGTTTGATGTTTCCACCTTGATTTGTAAGGAAGTAGAAAATAGAGTATAAATAAACAAAACCTGCAGGATATACTAAAGGCCCCGTATCGCCGTGTAGCTTACTGTAGTCTAATGTGCCATTAAGGAATCCTTCACATTCTTGCATGTACGCTTTCCAATCAATTTCTGTATATGGTACTCTTTCCACTACAATTATATTAATAATTAATTCTGAGATGATAATAAGGAAAGCGACGATGGGCAGCTGTCCCGGATTCACAATCAAAGCCTTTAGATAAGACCACGTAAACATTTTTTTCAAGCGGTGATAAAATTCTTCAAACTTATTTCGATTACCCATGCTGTGTAACTTGCAAAGTTTACTTAAAAGTATATTTGATCATTAGTATTAAGGGCTCGTAAAGTTCTTTCTTAAAGATAGATATTTGATATCTATTTTCAGATTATTTTTAGGTCACCTCACCGCAGCTCCCGGTCCCAGCGTGCGATACAAAAAAAATGCAAACATATCAGTCTCAAATGTCAATGTCAATTTTTGATTGCACAAACTAAGGATACTACGCATCAAACCGTCACACAGGAATCTTCGAAGAACTAATACGGGTACGGTACTTTAGAGGTTGACACACTTTTTTTTTCATATACAATATGGCTGCTTGGGGTTCAGCCTTAGAGCATTCATACCTGGAGAGAGCATGGACGGGCGTACCCCTCCGCCAAAACAATCATGGCCAGTGGCCATGATCGTTATATAAAACTAGTTCACGCGAGACCGCTACCACTTTAGATCGTTCCGCAGCGTGAGTCGGAGGGGTTGTTTTCCCAAGCAAAAACCGATCTGCCTCTTCAATCTTGCTGAAACATGGTGTTTCCTAACATAAACAAGTATTTTTAAGTTCTAAAAAGTTAGTATTCTGATATAAAATTCAATTAAAAGAAAAGGCGCGAAATCACGAATGAATGACAAAAATAATAGGTAGAAATTCATAGTGATGTGACGAAAAATGAATGAAATGAATCAATAATATTTTTTATACTAGAAAACATTCAACCAGATTTAATTAAGTGTATCTGTCGATACAAATAGCATGTTGATAAAACAAATATACATCGACAAATCTTATAAAAAAAACAACTATTCAATCATTCACGACGATCTATAACTTAACCAAACAAAGGCATCGATTCTTCCTGGTTCTTTAAGCTTAAAACTAAATTTAATATTAGTATCTAAAGAAAAGTTTACTAGAAAAAAAATCCACGCGGACCAGGCAGCGGACGGGACTCGAACCCGCACCCTTCGCAATCCGGGCGAATGCACTGACCATTATGCTACCACGGCCCTATTGGCCGCGTCGAAATTTTCCTAGCCTTAAGCTGCAAGGCAGCGCCATCTCTTCGCATTGTAGGTAACCCACAATGTCAAATGAATACTTTTTCAAGTATTAAACATTTGAATGAAGAAATAGCGATTATAGTTATGTTTTTATTTATTTTTAAGCATTTAACTGCTAGATGTTTAAATGTAACGAAAAGTTTACTAGAAAAAAATCCACGCGGATCAGGCAGCGGACGGGCGAATGCACTGACCATTATGCTACCACGGCCCTATTGGCCGCGTCGAAATTTTCCTAGCCTTAAGCTGCTAGGCAGCGCCATCTCTTCGCATTGTAAGTAACCCACAATGTCAAATGATTACTTTTTCAAGTATTAAACATTTGAATGAAGAAATAGCAATTAAAGTTATGTTTTTATTTAATATTAGTATCTCATTCTGTATAGAGGATGACAAGGATACACTTGTCAAATTTAAGTTTAGAGAACGCTTCCATATTCAACACCAAAATCTTTCTTTCGACGTTGAAATACGATAATATGTTTTAAAAGTACTTTATATCGATGCCGGTAAATAGCCACTTAAAAATTATAAACAATTATTAAGTGTCAATTCTGGCATGCATAATTCTCTTAAGTAAATTTAAGATTAGTCACTCCTTTTTAATTCTGTATAGAGAAAGACAAAGATAGATTGTTGTCAAAAATTTAAGCTTTAGAGAATCATGCCGGAATTGACGCCATAATTAACTTTCTATTTTTTTTGTTTGTTTATTGGCAATAAAGTGGTGTCGATTCTGGCATGATTCTCTAAACTTAAAACTAAATATTACATCAATCTCTCCTTTTCATTCTGTGTAGAAAATGACAAGGATACACTGTTGTCATATTAAGTTTAGGTTTAGGGAATCATGCCAGAATCGACACCATTGATGTAAATAGCGTTTAGGTAGAAGAAAGTGAATCAAATTAAGTAATTAGTTATCAGGTCAGCTGCCCACATCGAGCGACTTTTATTACATTTTAATTATTTTTAATAGCTTTCAAATGTCAAATTAAGTAGAAAATGCAATCACACGAGGCCCTAGATTTTATTTAGTTGCACCATAATTATTATCGTGTAGTGAAAAAAAATAACGTTTACGATATACTCACGAACTTTTGTTCATTTTGCAATTCGTATTTCTCCATAGTCCAGGAGATAAAAACTTATATTGTTAAGGTTCTGTATTAAAGAGAATTTTAGGTTTTTTAGACAAATCAAATAATGTTTTCGCCATAACTTATATTATTTTTTTTATTTGCTAGAGTTTTAAAAACACAGTTTCTTTTATATGTAGTAGCGTATTTTATTGTAATCCACAAAAGCGGTACCTAATTACTATCTGGGACGACATATAATACAACTTGAGGACATTTAATTTCCAGAAACTTGGAGCGCTATGAAAGTTGTCTGTCTAAAACAGATAAGTACTTTAAGGTGTCGGAGAGTCACAAAATCGATCTTTTAAGTTTCCGTGCCTACAGTGCCGTTAGGACAGCATAGTCCCAAAATCTGAAAAAAAAAATCTTGGCTCTCGAGAAAAATGTAATTTTCGTAATCAGCACCATTTAAAACTATAAATTCGATAAATCTCATATTATCCTTCAAGTGTTGCCATATCTTGTAATCTAATGGAGTCAAATCTGGACTGGAGGAGGGCCAGTCGTCGTGCCGGATGAAGTCGATTTCACGCGCCGCCAGCCAGTCTTGTATTCTCTTCACTCTATGAGCTGGCGCCGAATCTTGTTGGAATACCCAGTGCCTGTTATTGAACATGGTATGAGAAATAGGTTCCACAAGGTTGGTCAGGACTGTATTTGGATACACAACTGCATTCGTTTTTACACCTTTCTCACAAAAATGTACCTTTGTTAAGCGCCAATAAGAAACTCCCAACCATACCATGAGCAAGAATGGAAAATGACCTCGTTGGACGCGCGGAATATGGTTGCTCGCTTCTTCACTACTGTGTGCGTACACCTTATCATTTTGTTTGTTTTAGCTCTCTTCCACGGTAAAAATTTTTTCATCCAAAAATAGAATTTCATGATATTTTTTTCCCGCGTACCACTTCAACAAAGCGCAGCATCTCTTCAGTCTCAGGTCCAATAGACGAGCATTCAAATGATGTCTTGTTTTTCTTCGATATGCCCGAAGCCCTAAGTCTCCATTTAATACCCTTTTTACCGTGGTTCTGTTTAACCCCATCTGAAGAGCCAACAGTTTCTGCTTACTTTTGAATTCGCGCCTTCACAGCTTTTATCACTGCTGGAGTCCTAACAGACCGAGGGCGACCACTTCTTGGCCTGTCATCTACACAAGAGTCTTCATTGTATCGTTTGATGGTACGATAAACGAATCTTTTGGTTATATATATCCCTCTCCTCTCGGACCGCGCAAGAGTATAGACGTCAAATCCGTGCAAAAATAAATTACATTTTTATTTTAATATACAAATACATTTATTATTACATCGAAGTACCAGGAGTGCATGATCTCTAAAGTGTTCAATCGCTGCGTGACGTACTTACTGCAGAGAAGACACAGCTAATAAGTCAGCAGCCATAATTCATAAGCGGAAGCGGGTTTGGTACGTCTCTTCATTTTTACATATTTTATCTGCAACGAAATGCCAAATTAATGCGTTCGCGCACCTTAAACAAATCACACAGTATGTCAGACACAGATGTGGATAAGGTGGCGGACACCATACCCCTGCTTGAAGAACTAACACATACAACTCAACGTGAATCGAAAAGACGACGCGTTTCTGATGACCAACCTGACCTAATGGGATCTGACTTACGCAAGATCATACGGGAGGAACTACGAATTATTCTGAGTGAGTTACAAGCGCAACAAAATTCCCGTATGGACAATCTAGAACAACATATAACAGATATAAAAAACCAAAACGACAATATGAAAGTAAGTACCACAGATATTGGTACTTCCATAGAGTTTGTTACTAATAAATTGGATGACATCCAAACGGCTATTAGTCGCTTGGATGCAGAACGTAAGCAAATCGGTATACAAATCTCTAAAATTGAGGAAAAATGCGACTCACTGGAAAGATTGTCGCGTAAAACCTGCATCCAGATAAGAAATGTCCCGAAACAGAAAGGAGAAACTAAAGAATTGCTTTTTAATAATATACACAAATTATCTTCTTCACTGGGGCTTACCTTGAATATGTCGGATCTACGTGACGCCTATCGGGTCCCTTCTAAGCACGACCACACGACCTCAATAATTGTTGGTGAGTTCTCATCTACCCTGTTCAAGAGTAATATCCTATTGGCTGCTAAGAAATTCAACTCTAACGCCATCAAGTACAAGACACAACAACTAAACTCGCATCATCTCGGCCTTGAGGGCCCCAAAGTGGAGATATACTTAGCGGAGCATCTGACACCGTTGGCATCGCGGCTTTTTTTCCTCGCTAGAGATTTCGCAAGACTATGGGCTACGATTTCTGCTGGACGTCGAATGGATTAGTGTACCTACGAAGAAAACAAGATGACCCCTATATTCTAGTAAAAAGCGAAGCTCAACTACAAATGTTAAGGAACAAATGACTAGATCTTGATATGTCGAATTTTCATATTATTACTTGCACTTGTAAGCTATCATTTATTAACTATTTATTCTCATTTTTTCTACTTATTATAATATTATCAATTAACTATAAATATATTGCGATCATATCTTATATTTACATGCGTGACTGTAAACTTTGCTCGAGAACTAATATATTAAATTTGGATCAATTAGCACACTTACATTTCGAAACACAAAATTACATAATATTACTATATAATAATGCCTTACCATTTAAAAACAAAGAAAGGAATGCCTTCTGCATCAACTTTTGCATAATAGGGGTGGAACTATACCTTTTTTAGTCGAAAGTCTTACCATTGGAAACTATTATGGACAGCAATTTTTTACTTGAAGAGATAGAAACAATAAACTCAATTTCTTGTAAACTCATTGAAAACCCTAGCAATTTAAAAACCGAATTAAGTTCTAAAGCATCATTAAATGTACTATCGATAAATATAAGAAGTGTTAATAAGAACATAGATAATCTTCTTATCTATTTGACTAGGCTCTATATTAATCTACATATAATTGTACTATCGGATTGGTGTAACGAAAATACTATTCCACCTATGATCGATGGATACACAGTACAATCCACTAAACGAAGCTATAATCAGAATGATGGTGTAATTATCTATGTCAATTCGAATATTAACTGTAAAGTTTATGAATTACAAATAGAAGAAGCCAATTGCTTAGTGGTTGAAATGGATAATTTGACTATTCTGGGTATTTATAGACCGTACTGCTTCAAACATCCGGGAAAAATTCTAGATTCACTAGACCATCACCTTTCGACTATCAAATCGC